GTTGATAATTTTAGGATATGAATTCTATACAGGTAGCAAAGCAAACAGAATCTAATCAAGTGAAAGAGAGAGGTCATGGTATGGATCTGTTCCTCTTTAAAACAAACAAACAAAACCTCACAATTAAGAGAACAGAGGTAAAGTGACAAGCAATTGATTGTGAACAGTAAGTAGGGAAGGAGAAGACAGTGGGGTAGTAATTAAGATATTTGATAAATTTGAGAAAAAACTCGGGGACCTAGATCTGAAGCTAATATTAATTTATTTTAATAAAATCCAAGGTACTGTAACACTCTGAAGAGTAATTCAAGAATATTGCAAGAATGTTGCAGCCATTCTGAAAGCTCTTAGCAGTCAAGCTCTCCTGCAACTAGAAACTGGAGTATAGACAGGATACTGTCCTCAAGATTTTTCTTAGCTGTCTTCTATTTATTTTAAATTAATGTTAAAAAGTCAATGCGTGTTAAACTGAAAGCTTTAGTCTCCTGTAACTTGTCACCTTTTATATCTGTGCCACTACTATTAATTGTTTCCCAAATAAGCTTTTTCCTTAAGTTATTCTGTGTCCTAATACTAACTTTGAAATGTGAGTTGGCTTAAGATTGCTGAAATAGAACTGCCTGGGGAGGACTTCTTTAATTATTATTTTCTGGCTGTACAGGAGGTAGTCATGCAATGCACTTCCAAGACTCCCAAGTCCAGAAAAACTAGCACTCTGCATCCGTGCCTTTGGTTGTTGCTGTGGGAAAAAAAAAATTAATTCATTGCTTCTGTCTCTTCTTGGCACTGATAGAGGGGAAGTGACATGTTGCTGCTGACCCCTTCTGCTCACAGGTTATCATATGCCCCAAGAGGAGAGCTCTTCTTTTGTTAGTCATCTGCACAGTCCATTTTGGAGGCATAATGCTGTTTGGATTGCCAGGCAAAAGCCCTTTTGGTCTGTTAGCAGCTTTATCATGTTCTGTTGACTGACAGAGACATGTATATTCCCATGGAATGCTGTTGGGAATAATTAGGAGTGCAGGTCTGGAGAGCAGTCTGGCAGCAGGAGTTAAAACACGGGCACCTCCTGCACTGCTTCAGCTTCTCAGTCCCTTGTGGCTAGAGACGATCTGGGATTTGGCAATGATACTGTGACAGAGAGGAGTTACTTGTGGTAAATTAAGAAGGTTGAAATACAAAGGGTTCTACTGTTTCTGTTGTAGCTTTCCAAATAGGATAAGACCGGTTGCCCTCTTTGTATAACTGATTAAACAAACTGCATCTCAAAAGCAGGCAAACTGATCTGTGCTGGTAAGCAGTGATAAAAAGAAAAAAAAAAAGAACATCTCTGTATCAGATCTAGATGTTTAGTCCATACAATAACTTGTACCAGATTCACTGACAGTTATCAACATCAGACTGAATGCCAGTTTCTTTATGTTCAGCAATCCATTGGTGGAATTTGAGCCAGTCAGCTGTTGAAATGTTTGGGGATAGTTTGAGAAGTAGTATTTTAGCAATTCAGTGGTACTGTGTGTTAAGGTAATTAAGCACTAAGAACTGAAACAGGTATATGATCATAAAAGTCTCGATTTGTATAAGGTCAGCAGTTCTATAATATATAATAATAAATGCAGTTTCTGAAGGTCAACATTAATGTGGTTCAAGAATTACATCTTCAAACTGTATTAGGTACAGCCAATATTTTTTTTTTGTCCATAGTGAGAAAATTAACTGGTTTAAATGCATTTGCTCGCATCTAAGTATTTCATGTTCATCATGGATTGGAATTTAGAATGTTTATGGTGAATCATTATTTTGCTCTTTTTAGTAGTATAGAGGAAAAAAGTAAGTAATAGGTGTGTCTAGTAAGCAATTTCACAGGTTTTCTGCTGACCTGGTATAGGAAAACTGTTAAATTTCTTATCACCTCGTGAAACCGGGTCATCCAGGTAGATGTGCTCGTTTCACTTTTTCAAACAAGAAATCTGTTTTTAATAAGTGAGCTGTGGGCTCCAAGGGTGAGGGAAAAAAAAACCCCAGCAATACTTCTCTGCAAAGGCCTTCTTTGTTTTGAATGATGCCTGAGTGAATCCTGAATTACTTAAATTTCTTGTGCTGTAAATCATTCTGTTCCTTAATGATGATACAGCATATATTTTCCTCTCTTTGATCATGCGTGCAATGAAAGAACTTTCTCAATTTTATGGTATGCAAAAATGCGAGACTTTTTAGGATATAATTTGAGATATGGCTTTTGCCCAAAAGAAATTACATTCTTAATGAATGCTATCCTGTTTCCATATCTTTCTGTAAAATTACAAGAATGTGCTGTTTTAGAAATGTTCCAGAATTATTGCCTCTGCCGTGGATGTATTTCAATTATGCCTCTTCAATTTTGGCCTCTGCTGGCATTCTGCCAAGCTATTTGTTACATCTGTCAACTTCTAAGTCTAATGCTGCTGCTCCCATAAACAAATTGACTTGGATGAAAAAATGAACCTCTGTATAGTTTGTGTGATTTGCATGTTTCAAAAAAAAACTGTTGTTCTGGCTCGTGTTTTGGAGCTGTGTATTTCTCTCTAAAAGTCAATATGGTTTCTAGTACTTGATATCTTTCCTAAAAATTATCCTGAATTTTTCCAAGTTTACACTAGAATGAGAGTTAATATTTATTTATTTATGATCTTCTCTCCCATGTGCAATCAGATGGTTGGAAAACATCTGCTACTCCTGCTCAGGTTTTTGATCTCATCAATTTGCTACCTAATATTTTGTTTCAACAAATTCATCTTGTTTGTTCTTATCCGTAGTCACTTTTTCATCTAAAAGTCATTACAATTTATTTTCATAACCTGTTCTCCATCTTTTCCCAAAGTTCAATCTTCAGTGCCAACAACGGTGGAAATACACTTGTTATCTGTTTTGAGACTTCTGTGTGTGTTTTAAAAATATAAAAATCCTCTTCACAGTCTTAAGGACTTTAAGGTTATAAAGTCAAACAGTCTAATGAGAAGAAATAGCTTTTAAGTCTGGCTGGTGCTTGTAGTAATTAATGTACTCTTTGTACATGTATTATCTTAATTCTGTGAGATACTATTTTTGTTGTAATACAGTTACTGCTTTGACTTTTCTCAGAGTATTTAGCTTGCAGGAAATAGCTTTCTGCAAATTTCATGCTGGGTCAGAAAAAGATACAGCAAATGTTTGCTCAAAGCTGTATTTTTGTGACCAGTTTGCCAGTTCGTAGGACTTTTTATATCTTTCTATTCCTTTTAATGTCAGAGCATTCTCTCTCTTGTTCATTCATTGCAAACCATCTCACCTGAGAAATAACAAATATATAAAAGGTTCTTCAGACAAGCTCCTGAGATCATCCTCGTATAGTGTTAACTTGGGAATTGGATGAATTGGGGAAAGGGGAGTACAGGCATGGAACAAAAAAAAAATCTTATCATGTAATGCATGCCAAGGAAAGGTATTGAACTGAGGCAATTCACAGTCAGCTGGAATTCTCATTTCCTAAATTTGGAGGGATTGATTTGGTAATATTTCTGTCTTTATATGCACACAGTGCAGTGCATGCAATAAAAAGGAGAAATGTTCTAATTCTATGAAAATAAATAAGGATTGACTATTTGGCGAGATGAGGATTTGACCAGTTTGGGAGTGTTTTCACACATTTTTTTCATGTAATACAACCACCTCAAGACTTAAAACATCCTGCATAGGTGGAAGCTTTTTGGAGGAAGGAAATTGGGCAGGTTTGTTTTGTCAAAAGGGGGTATGTTCCTTGTGTCATAATTTCCTCAGGAATTTACTGTTTTTGATGCCTGTTAAATGAAATGTAGAAAGGGTGCCCTTCACTGCCTTGTGCCTGCTGTGTGCACAGGTAAATTGGAACAGGGATGCTGACTGAGGTGCTTTGTGCTGGGTGACCCCTTCCACCTCACCCACGCAGGTGCGACCCTGCGTCCCGCTGCGTAGCTTGCTCTCTTCTCTGAACAGAAACTTGGTAGGAAGGGGGCTCATAGTTGTGCTGTCCTGGAAAATTAATTAGAGAGGAATCATAGAATTGGCAAGTGTTGAAGATGTTGGCAAAAAAAGTTTCCCTGTGTCATGTGTTGACTGGTTGAGATGGGGGAACTCTTTGGAGCCGTGGCTCGCAGGAGATGCACCTGAGGGTGGCAGAGAGAGTTGTGCCCTGGAGGGTGGAGAGAAGAAACAAGATATGGGGGGTCTTTTGAAGCTATGGAGACCAGTGTCTCGGGAGAGGAGGTGAAGAATAGTAGAAAAACTGTTCCTAAAACTGTTTTATTCCTTAATATCAAATTCTGTTCGCGAATGTCTCCCAATGCTTGCTCACTTTGGAACCTCTTTTATATTTTTTATTTCACATCCATGCTTGCTCTGTGTGTGTGTGTGTTAAACCCCATTCCTGTTGTTCTGAATTTCAGAAAATATCTCCTCAACTTCCATAAGTTGGTTTACTCTTCAAATGTGTAAATTTGCAGAATAGCAGGTGATTTGGTAATCTACTGGTGATTTGTGATTTGTAAATAATCAGGGAGGGAGGTGGGGAAAGACAGCTTTTTTACTTTCTTTATTCCTAAAAATTGCTGTAAATCCATAAAATCTTTGGAACAAAATGTTACCTATTATAATTTGCTTTCCATTTCTGTAACATCTTTTCCTTAGAGAGGCAAAGGAAAATTATCCCAGCAAGTATGTAAAATACAGTACCTGTATTTAGACACCAACCTGTTAGATGTCTGCATAGATAGTTGAGAGTTCTTCCTAACCTCCTATCTGCACTCTTAAAATTATGTGCAATAAAAGACAAAGACTTAAGAGGACAAACTTCTTAGGGAAAGGTCAATGAAAAATGGAGAAGAAGCCATTAAACTGGTAAAATGCACAGTACAAGTACTACATATGCAGGTGGGGAACATGGTATAAGGAATTCTAGTTGATCCCAAGATTTTTAAAGCTTATGAAATATGTTCATGTTATTTCAGCTGGGAAGTTTTGAGGTTCCTTCTGTCTAATTTGAGAATGTGGATTGAAGACTATCGCTTTGACGGGTTCCGGTTTGACGGTGTTACATCGATGTTGTATCACCATCACGGGATTGGTAAGTAATTTAATCAACTCTCATTCCAGCAGTCCTGTTGCAGCTGTTGCTGTGGAAATAATGCTATGAAGTTCACTGTTTCTCAGAGGGGGTAAAGGGGGTTTTAGAACAGGAGCTAGCAGGGCTCATTGATAAGCTTTAAAGTAGGTAGGAGAGGGGGAAAGGGATAAAACCAGGCTTGCCAGTGATGAGCAATGGGATGGCACAGCAAAACTTGAGGAACTGAGCACTAGTGGGATCCTTCAACCTGCTCCATGAGGTGTCTGCTACAACAAACCACATTTGAAGTGTTTCACACCAACACACTCAGCATGAGGAACAAACGAGGAGCTTGGAGCTTTGGCCCAGTCCCAGGGATGTGACATCACTGGCATAAATGAAACCTGGTGGGATGAGTCCTGTGCCTAGAGTGCCCTGTTGGATGATATCAGGCTCTTCAGGAGGGATAGGCAGGGCAGAAGAGGCAGGAGGGTGGTGGTATATGTGAGAAAGGGGCTGGAATGTCTGGAGCTCACAACTGGCAGTGGCACAGTTGAGAGCCTCTGGGTGGTTGGGTCCATCAAAGGCCAAGAGGTCCCTGCAGAGATACAAACTGGAGTGCTGGGCAATCACCAGATCACAAAGACAAGTGCTGGATTCTACATTTGGGGCAGAACAACCCTTGATATACGTACGTACTGGGGAATGAGGTGCTGGAAAGCAGCACTGCAGGAAAGGACCTGTGGGTCCTAGAGGATGGAAAGTTAAATCTGAGTCAGCAGTGCCCTGGCAGCCAGAAGGGCCAACCATGTCCTGGGGGCACCAGGCAAAGCATCGCCAGCCAGTCAAGGGAGGGGATTGTCCCGCTCTGCTCTGACCTGGGGAGGCCTCACCTCGAGTCCTGTGTGCATTTTTGGTCACTACAGTATAAAAAAGACACTAAGCTGTTGGAGAATGTCCAAAGGAGGGCAACAAAGGTGGTGAAGGGCCTGGAGGGGAAGCTGTGTGAGGACAGGCTGAGGGCACTTGGTGTGTTCAGCTGGAGGAGAGGAGACTGAGGGGAGACCTCACTGCAGTTACAACTTCCTCGTGAGGGGAAGAGGAGGGGCAGGCACTGATCTCTGCTCTGTGGGGACCAGGGACAGGACCCGAGGGAATGGCCTGAAGTTGTGTCAGCAGAGGGTTAGGCTGGATATCAGGAAGAGGTTCTTCACCCAGAGGGTGGTTGGCTGCTGGAACAGGTTCCCCAGGGCCGTGGTCACAGCACCAAGCCTGACAGAGTTAAGAAACAGTTGAATAGTGCCTTCAGATGCATGGTGTGTTTCTTGGGGGTGTCCTGTGCAGGGACAGGAGTTGGACTTTGGTGATCCTTATGGGTCCCTTCCAACTTAGCATGTTCTGTAAATGCTCAAAAAACCCCAGGTTTGCTAAAAGCTTGTTTTGCTGCTCTACAGATAGATCAGAAATCATTAGTAAATGTGGTGCTTACAAAATGGAATATTGCAAAATATGTTTCCTAACAAGAACCTGACTGTGGCTTTTAAATCTGTCTGTCTTATTAGGCACAGGGTTCAGTGGAGATTACAATGAGTATTTTGGCCTACATGTGGATGAAGATGCTTTGTGTTATCTGATGCTGGCCAATCACATGATTAATACCTTGCATCCAGAATGCATAACCATAGCAGAGGTAAGATCAGAATTTGCCATCCTCAATGACGTTAATATTGATTAATTTGCTTTGGGATGTGAATTTCTTATTAATTATCAAGTTGCACTTTGGGTACTCAAGAACTGACATGAGTTGAAAACTATTAATTAGTGGACAGACTTTGCCTGGTGGGGAAAAACAACTTGAATATGCGCTTTGGGAATTTTCTCTGCATTAATAGGTTATTAATTAATGTGGTGATTTCTTTTTTTTTTCCTTCATCACCTTGAACTTGTAATGAGATTTGTTTTTATTAGTTTATTTCTTGTGCATGATAACCATTTGTCACCAGTGCTTCAGGGTACTCAAGATTAACAGCCCTAGTGTGGTTTTGCATATTTTGAGTTATATTGGCATAACTGACAATTGCCCTTCAAATTAAATGCAATAAACTTATAAATGTGGAATGTATAGGGTAATTTAAATTTACTATTAAGTTTCTCCAGGTTTCTGAGGGAGTTAATAGACTATATTATTTGAGTTGATTGAGATCAATTAAGTCTTTTGACAGAAAAATATTGTTGGCATACGGAACTTCTAGTATGAAACACCAGAGCATTAAAATTCTGTGAATAGGTGTGTTTTCACGGATATTTTGTCTTTATCTAAAAGAGAAAAAACACGCAAACATTGAGGATTTTTTTTTTTCTGTTACTATGTTTCAACAATTCATTTTATTTAAAAGAAAAAGTTGGATCGATCTGATAAAAGTAGGGACTATTTGTATTTCTAATAAAACTTCCTGTGTTGCTTAAGAGTTCCCTATTTGTTTTCAGAAAACAAAATGCAGCTTAACTTCGTTTCTTACTTATGGTAAAGTTTTCTATTATAGACAACCACTGCTAAAAGCTAAATGGCAAACCATCAAAAACAGCATCTGGTGAGCAATTACAAGTAAACTTGAGGTGGTTTCATTGGCTTATCTGAAGGGAAATCTGTTAATTTTCTAGGTGATATTAGATCATAAACATTCCTACCAATGAAATTCTGAGTTCAGTTGTCTTGTAATACCTGTCTTAAGAGTTTTGGTGGTTTTGTTCTTGGGGTTTTTTTTGTTTTTTTTTTTTAATAAGATGTGTCTTCAGTTTCTCTTGCGTAAGTCAGAAAGCTGCTTCTTTTTCAATACATAATTTTCTGCCTCGGGGAGTTGCTACACAAATCATAGAGTTGATCAATGTGCTGCATGGTTAAAGGAGAATTTCAGAAGGAGAAACTATTGACATAATTGAAAATTACAAAAGTCAATGAAGAATGTCTGCTTGCCTATGGAATGAGTGCCATGTGAGAAAAATGTTTTTCTCTAGCCATAACTAGTTATAATATATTCTTTAATTAATATAATTGATGATTTTTACAGCTTTTTAATATTCTGTTTATTCACTGTCTTAGTAATTGTGAAGTTTTCAGGTGTTACTGACTATATGCTTATTTTTTTTCACTTTGGTCTTCCAAATAAAGCTGTGATTAAAGTTTTTTATAACGAGAAGGAAAAGTATTAAGTGAAATTACATCATGCCTGAAGTATTATAAAAGCAAACAGGCAAAAAATCACCTGTGGTTTCTACTGCTGAGGTTTCTGATTTTATATGCAGCTCATTTTAAATTTAGGTCTGAACAAATGTTTAGAAGTTAGCTGTTTAATTGTAACACCACAGAATGGCTTGGGTTGGAAGGGACCTAAAAGATCATCTTGTCCCAACCCCCCCTGCCATGGGCAAGGACACCTTCCACCAGAACAGGTTGCTCAAAACCCCATCCAACCTGGCCTTGAACAGTTCCAGGGATGGGGCACCCACAGCTGCTGTGGGCAACCTGTTCCAGTGCCTCACCACCCTCACAATAGGGAACTTTTTCCTGATATCTTATCTAAATATATTTTCTTTCAGTTTGAAGCCATTCTCCTTTGCCCTATCACTACCTGCTTCTGCAAAAAGTCCCTCCCCATCTTTCTTGTAGGCTCCCTTCAGGTACTGAAAGGCTGCAATTAGGTCACCATGAAGCCTTGTTTTTTTCAGGCTGAACAAACTCAATTCTCTCAGCCTTTCCTCATAGGAGGAGTATTAAATTTAGAATTTTACTTACTAAAAACCTGGCTTTCAAAACTGTGACTCAAATAGATGTGAGCTGCTTAAATTTCAGACTTGGACCTTGTCCAGGTAGGAATCATGGCATCACAGAAAAAGGCTCTTGTTTCATATCATCATGCCCTGTATAACTTGGAGACCATTAGTCTGTTTTTATCCTTCCTGACTGATATAGGAGAGCTATTGAACTTCCTTTTATCACATCAAAAAGTTTGGAAGGAATTTCCACTTAATTATTTGGTTTTTACAGCATGTGGAATGTGGATGCAGTTTTCTGTGTGATCTAATGACTGCTGACTAAAGGGGGATAATCCCTTCCCTTGATCTCCTGGCTTTGCTGTTCACACAGCCCAGGGTGCTGCTGGCCAGGGCAGGCTGCTGGCTCATGCTCAGCCTGCTGTTGGCCCAGAGCCCCAGGGCCTTCCCAGCAGAGCTGCTCCCCAGCCTGTGTTGGATGCAGGAGGTCTCCCATCCCAGGGACAGGATTTGACAATTGCCCTTGGTGACATTCCTGAGCTTTCTGTTGGTTGGTTCCTGCAGCCAGTCAGGGTCCCTCTGGATGGCAGCCCTGTCTTCCATGGCATCCATGAGCTTCATGGTGATGTGGTTGATCTTACTTATGTCAATGTGTGTGTATGTGTATAACTGCAAATATCTTTTTCAGTAGTCCAGTGCAGCAATTGGATTGAAAACTGGATTGAATCCAGAAAACCAGACTGAGCTTCCTAATTAGGCCCCGGTTCTAGTCAGTATTTAATTCCATAAATTCTCATGTGTAGATGCGAGAGGTGTATGATAATCCATAACCTTTGTCAGCGAAAAGTCGTTCCACCACAGAAGTTAATAACATCGAGTAATGATGGATATTTTGTAATTATTGGAGACTTGCATTTTCTGTCCGGATAAGCTAACTTTAGCAAGAGAATGCTGTGCGATAAAATTGCCTCAGAACATGGTGAAATAAATATTTGGAGAACTTGCAATTACAAATTTTAAGAATGGTCAGCTTCCATCAACATGAAGATGAAAAACTATGCAAAGAGCACGTCACTTTCCAGGGCTAGCTTGATCAATAATTCTGGGTTTGCACAGTGGGGAAATAGTAGGGATCGTATTTTACTTCCTTACTGTACTTAATATTTAGCCTTTTTTTCCATGCCATTCTTTATGCAAAATATCAATAAACAAAATGAAGGTTTAATTTGTCTTTTGTTGACTACTTTGTACTTTCTATTGATTACGTGGAGCTCAAGAGAGCTAATTATTTCGAACTCTGCATCTACCGAGGTCTCTTCCCCTTCAAATATCTGCTCTATTAAAGTATTTTGAGGTAGAGTATTTGATGAGCAGTCATAATGCTTTTCCCTGTAGCTTTTGCATTCAAACAACAAATCTGGGTGTAGTAATGACTGTTTTTTATTTTTTTTAATCTCCCTTAACCAGGTGAGTCTCTGAAGCTGTTCATAGAGTTGTGTTTAGAGAGCGTTTGTATACAAGCATTTACTGTATGATAGAAAATACAAGCTAATAATTGAAATGCCATAGAAATTATGCTGTGGGTTGTTTTTTCTTAATCTATTTAAGGATGTTTCTGGAATGCCAGCACTTTGTCGTCCTGTGGCAGAGGGAGGAGGGGGCTTTGATTACCGGCTGGCCATGGCTATCCCGGATAAGTGGATACAGGTGAGAAAGAACTTCTTCCAAAACACATTCTGCTCTTCAGAGCAGCGTGTTTCTCTGTCAGTGCACACACACAGACACTTCTGAATCCCACTGACAAGTGTTGCTCTCTCTGCTGTTAATGTCCTGTTGAAATAAATTCTGACAAGCTTGAGCACAGCTATTAATGGCTGAAACGAGAGCTGTCAGGTATCATGGAGGTTTTCAGGTGAGGAAGTTCAGGGGCTGGTATTTTCATTCTATCTGATATTTGTTTTCTTCATACAATACACTTAAACTCAATTTGTTTGAAATAACCTGTATCTTGCAACTGCTGTGGAATGTGTAATCTATATGGAATGTGAACAGGTAGACAATAAGTTAACCATATGCATATAAATATTGAAGAATCACCCCCAAAACATGCAACAAACCCTCCTGGCACTGTGTGTGTTACTTGGAATAGAATATAGAGCTGAAAGTTTTAACCAAAGTAAACCCAAGGGAATTATGCAAACACCTGCAATTGGTACAGTGGGGCTACAGAAAGAATAATAAAAATCTGTAAGTGCTCTTCAAGAACAATAATATACTGATAAACACTGACTACAACAAGGATTTATATCACGTTTTCTTTAATACAGAGAATCACAAAAAAAAAAAGAAAAAAAAAACAATAAATGGTCTCAAAAAGATCTCAAATCTGATGTTTTGGAGAAGGTTTTTCAGTTAGATAGAAGATAACATTGAAATCCCTTGGGCTATCATGATGATCTGAAAGCAATAAATGTTTTATACTACCCCTAATACTTCAATAAATACAGTGAGTAGCTAAAAATAAAAGAACAAATTAACTTATCTTCAACATCTTTCAATTTTGTAACTAGGAGATGAAGAGCCAATTGAAAAAACAGATTTCAAACCAATTTTTTAAGGAGATAAACTTGCCAGCTTTTCCAGCAGGGACAGCATCCTTAAACTTTGGAATGTGTAATTTACATATTTAGATATTTAGATCTTGGAGCACAGTGAGGGCTCAGATTTCTGTAGCAACAAGAAATACCTTGTGATGTTTCGAAGTGGGGGGGGGTTTGTTTGCAGGAGTTTTTTTGTCGTTGTTTTTTTTCTTTACACCTTCAACTTCCTTATCACCCTTTAGGATGGGCAAAGATGAACAATTTCCCAGGTAGGAAAAATGCAAGTGGCCAAGTTCATATTACATAGGAAAAAAAAAACCCCAGACTTCAGAATTTTACAAGTACAAAAAAATTGATAATCTGATTTAGCAATCTCTGCTCTGGTCTGCCTATTTTAATTTGCAATACTTGGATAGGAAACGTAGTTATGATGCAGTAAATTCTGTTCTTTAGTGGGAGAAAATCTCCCTTCTTCCAGCCTAAACGTGTCCTTGTCATGGGCCAGGCGTGGGATGCTGATGGGATTGCAGGTCAGCTGTGATAGCCTGGCCTGTTTCCCAGCAGAACTCCGGTTATTTGGGAATGTGCTAATTGCACAAGAATGTTGTGTGATGTAGGCAGGAAGCTTTTAGCTAAGGAAACTGCAAATAAGCAGCCACAGTAGAGAACGTGGAGTTGAAGAAAGGTGATGTGCTTAGTTTGGTACCACATTTCTTGAGGGGGAAAAATAAAGCTGAAATGATTGGAAAGGAGACATTGAGAACCAGTTATCTATCAGTTGTTATCAAACTCTCCCAGACTGCTTGCTCTCATTTCCCTCCAGTTTTTAAGTGTATACCTGTTAATGGCAAGTTTTCTAGGTAACTTTTTAAAATCGGTTTTAAAACTGAAGGATTCCATGAATTAATTCTGAGGAATCTGTAAAAGTAAGAAAGATAAACTGCTTGTCATAACAGTGACTGTACTAGTTCAGTTTAAAGATATGTGCAGTACATGATATGGTGCTGCTTAAGGACCTGGATGTATTCAGAGCCAGAACTTATGGACTCAGGAAAGAAAAAACAACAAAAACCCCCAAAATACAAACAAAAAACCAACAAGGACAGGAAAACACAACTGTTCAGGAGTACATGGCCAGTTAGAATCAGAAAGTTAAATTTTACAGCATGATATTAGCCATCTTGGTGTTATTGCCTTTTTATCACTTTTATTTTTATGTCTATATATTTATGTACATGTATTTAAGTTGTAGTGATCAATGGAGGTCTAGAAAGTAGTATTGAAAAAAAGAAAGGGCTAACACTGAAATAAAACCAGATTTAGAAGAGGGAGGAAATAATGTCATATGAGGCAGAAAATTCCTATTAAAGGGATTTAATTTAAATTGCTGAAAATCGGGAGGCACCACACAGCCCAGTGATTAAGAAGTATTTGGAAGCTCTCATATGCCAGGGTTGCATCTCCTGATATTGTGGACCAGGTAGGTGTGTGCCCACATATTTTTCCCTGTTTTTTGGTGCAATGCTTTCTTGCAGGTCCTATCAATTACATTACCTGCTGTATTGGAGGATTCATGCAATAGAGGGCAAGTTATGTCCATGCTTCCACATGGAAGTATAGGAGAAACAAAGTGTTCTAGTTATTTATGTGGTAGAATTGAGAAGGAAAAAAGAAAAGTCTCTTTGGATGGTCAGAGAAAACTCATCACTTCAAAAAGAGAACAGGAGAAGTTGAATTACTGCAGTTCAAAATCCATTGGACATTTCTGTGCCAAGATAATGCTACATGCTTTTAGTTAAAACAGCAATAAATTTTCAGGGATCTTTCTTCTGTTTTCCTGCAGATAATTAAGGAGCTGAAAGATGAAGACTGGAACATGGGCAATATTGTGCATACATTAACAAACAGACGGTACGAAGAAAAGTACATTGCTTATGCAGAGAGTCATGACCAGGTATGTTATCTGTTTGTTTATTTATAAGAAGTAAAAGAGAATGTTTATAGGTTTGGTGGGTTTTCTTTTTCAAAATGAGGCAAGAGTTGAGAAGGATGGCAAGAATTTCAGAGATGGGTGGATGTGGACTACTGCTCATTTTTTTACTATTTTTTAATTTTTTGTTGGGTTTTCTTGTGGCTTTTTATTTTGTTTTGATCCTTCATTTTAATAAAGGAGTCCTGCCTGGAGTGGGCGGGTAATGTTGATTTTTCAGTTGTGTTTTGTTTCTAAGAAATGAGTGGTAGCATCTCGTTGTGTCTGTCATGGAACATAGGAAGGTGTATAATCCATGCTTTTGAAAATCTTGTTTCCATTCAGCAGTCTGGAGCACTGTTTGTGATAAGCATAAACAACATCCCAATTTAGAAAATTTGTTCGTTGAATCAGTGTTTGTGGCCGTTGTATTCCCTTCATGAAGATCTTTCCTCTCTAAAAGGATTGCAAACATCCTGTTTTGAGACCTAAAAGAAATATTCTATAACATTTTGGTTCAAAACACAGTAACAGTAATAGTTCTGTGTATGGAAAAATGAAAAAATAATGATGGATTTGGATAACACTCCTCTCCCACAATCTTTTTGACAGTTCTTTCTGAAGAGTCAGAAAACATTAGTCAAGAATTATAAAATAAGGAATTTAAACCTTTCATTAGAAATTAATATCTTTTTTTTTCCTTAAGTAACTACCTTCAACTTTTTCATTACATAGAAGTTGATGTTCTATTTGCTGTGCCTCTATAATAAAAGTCAACAGAAGTGTCCAAAACAAAGTCTGTATTTTATTTTAAAAAGAGAATTCTGCATTTATCATTCAGTACATTCATTTTGCTTACCTATTTACATTCTAATCTCAGACTCTTACAGTGTTCACTTAAGGCATGAGACAAGAGTCATGATCCTGTTAAAGAACTTCAGAAATTACTTGGAAATCCATATTATTGTATGATAATTTGCTTCTATCAAAGCTGGTTCTTCATCCTAAAGCATGGCATATAACATTACTGTTGCTGTTCTTTTATTTTATGCTGATTTTTATTAATTAAGTTGTTTTCTATATCGCTATGTGTTTTTGGTTTAGAATCTCATACTTGGGAAAAATCTGTTTATTTTTTATTAAAATTAAAAAATGATTGCAGGTGTTGATACGTGAAAAGTAGGATAGAGAAAGAAAATGGGAGTGTAGGATAAAATCCAGTCTGAAGATGCTGGAATTGACTCATGTGAGGGTACAATTCTAATTTCTTGTATTTTATAATGGGCTATGAACTGACTATTACCAGTCAGAGTACAAGGGCTTGTGGTCAGAAGTGTGTGAAAACAGCAGCTTGAAGCTAATTGCTGTCAAAAAAGCAGATGCAGGCCTGGAATTATTATGAATGGAATGGAGAACAAAGGGCACAGTCAGCACGCCTGGAGTCTTTCATGGTTCGTGGGCATGTTGGAGGCAGATGTGGGCCTTTGTCTCCAAGGATATACAGCATACCTGGAAAAAGTGCTGTGAGAGAGTTGGGAAGGAGGTCAGCAGGTGTGGATTGGTTTTCATCAGAAGAAAACTAAATAGAGTAAGATTCTTCAGGGTAGCAAAGTGATCATTGAAGGGGGAAATATATCTGGTAAAATCATGGCTGTCATAGAAAACAAGAACAGGGAACACTTACCTTCTCTTCAAATAAAAAGATTAAGGGATATTAAATGACACTAACAAATGCCACATTCTGAGTCCAGAGAATAGTTGATTGCAATCTTCAGTCTTGTTGTTGTCATGTAGGAATTTTTTAAATTTTTTTTTTAAAAAATCTGGTTTTTACCTAAGGGCATAATCTGTAGATTGTCTCTTATATTGTCAGTTGGAAATCTAAAGGATGATTGTGCTTTTCAGCCAGACCTGCTTACAATTCATCTGTCCCTTTGGAATTTAGTGAGTTTTCATGCAAGAGTATAAAATGAAAATTGGGCTAATTGAACAAAAATTAGCTATTTACACGTAATTGCTCCAAAACATTTTCAACTACCTGCACGATGGTATATTAGAATAGCATTTGTGTGGCCTTTCTCAAGTAGCAGTAAGCACTAGCACGTTGGTAATTCAGTCACTGCTTTTAGACAGAATTACTAGTTTGTTTTTTCTCTTGTGTGAAATCACAGGAAACCAATCACCTTCTTGATTGCATATAAATGAATGCTTCGTACTCATTCTGCATCTCTAAAGCAGGAGCTTTGTTAATAACCTTCTATTTTCACATTCCAGGAACTTCACTTGGGGTGCTTGCTTTCTCCTTTTCTGTGTTTTCTATAAAAATTCCCAAATGGTAGGTCACTTGTGACTTACTGAGTTGATGCTGACATGTCACGTTTTGTTATCTGTAGGCAAAAAAAAAAAAGTTCTTAGAAGTAATTATGCAGTTTGATCCCATCAGGTGAAAGGTAGGACATCAGAGGGGGTTAGACAGCTGTTTATTATCATATAATAATGATAATAATATTATCCTGACGGTCTGGGGAGCCCCAGTAACCACATGGAGGGTTAAAACAGACACTGGAGTCTGACATCCAGTTGAGGCTCAGCTCATGGACATCCCTGCCTCAGTTCAGACCCTTCCTCTTTTTGACCTCAGAGTAGATGTGTATCACACTCACTTGATTGCACATCACACAACACACAGGGTCAGTACTTAGAAGGTGAGGTTGCTGTGACCTGGTGATCACAGGCAGTGGCAGGAGGGTTTCTTTGGGAACAGGGACTAGATCATGCACCCTGAGCCACGTCCTTGGCTCCTCACCCATCCTGCAAGTCCTCCCCTTACGATACGGAGCACCTGCTGTAAAAAAACAAAACAAAAAAAAAATTAGAAACACTTCCGTCTTCTTGAACTGTTCCAGGCACTTGTGGGTGATAAGACACTGGCTTTTCGACTGATGGATGCAGAGATGTACACAAACATGAGTGTGCTCATGCCTCTTACGCCGGTTATCGATCGTGGAATACAGCTTCATAAAATGATTCGTCTCATTACTCACGCGCTCGGAGGGGAGAGCTATCTGAACTTCATGGGTAAGTAATCTTGGGAGCAAGTCCCTCGTTTTCTCATCTGCAGAACGCTTGGCAGGGAGATAAAATGATCTGACATCATCTTACGTCCCCGGTATTTATCACGATGCTGAAGTTTAGGGCATAAATGCGTTTACAGATTTAGTACAAAAGGTGATATGCGTTGTTTTTCTGCCTGTAAAGATGTATTGTAAGACGAGAAAATAAAACCAAGATGGTTCCTAACTGTAACAGAAGTAACTTTTAAAAATGTGGTAAGCTCTATTTCAGGGTACTTTAATTTACAACTACTCAGGTATTTTAATTGTTGTTTTGCAAGTTTGTCAGGTGGTGAGCCATGGCTCATGCAGCTGGGTTGTATTTTGCCTCTACTCTTTTACTTTCCTAAACTTTTTAGGATCACAGTGAATTTACTTAAGATAGCTCATTAGTATAGTGTTTATTTCAGTTATTAATTGTCAGGAAGCAGTCTGGGATCAGTTGACTTGTATTTCATTGCTTCTTAGTGAAGAGCAGAGGCTTAATGAGGTAGGCAAGGACAAATCACAGAGACAGGAGGCACATTCTCCTATCAAATCCCAGAAATTATAAGAGCTAGTAGTACTTTGGTTTTGTCCGTAAGCTGTAAAACACAACTGTTGCCTTTCTTCTTAAGCTCAATTTTTACAAGAAAGTTCAATTGTTAGTCTCATTTAATCAGCCAGTTACAGTTCCATGTGGTCATCTTAAAAGTGGAATGTTGTTCTTAGTTTCACCCAAAATTCTGAAGCTATTTATCCTTGCTGCTCTTTACCATATGCATTCCTTCAGTTTCTTTGCAAAACAGTTCTTACTTTATACTAAAAATCACAATTTCATCATGTGGTGTGACAAGTTCTGTATAGCAGTTGTGATAGTCTTGTGAGGGGAAAAAAAAAAGGCTGAAAGTCTGCTGTAAAATCATCATTTCAGTTTTCTGATCATAAACCACTTGAAAAGTATAGACATTTTAGCACGGTATTTTCTTCTACTTTTGTTGTTAAATAATTTGATTTATAAAGTCAAAGTGGACTGTTGAATGTATATTGCCCTTCTTCCATGATAGTATATTTAACAACATTTTTTTCTGATTAAGAAACTAGAGAACATAGAGCAGTGGTGACACTGGATTTAAGCACATCTGTAGGGGTATATGTTCTCTTTCTTGGTATCAGAAGAAAACTCAAATACCGTGTTTGTTTTCTTAAAAAGAATTGAAGCAAGTTCAGTACAGGACGAATTAATTCAGTACATGCAACACTAGTAAAACTATTATTTCCAATAAAATACCGAATTTTTTTCTCCGGAGCGAAGAGGAGTTAATGAAATAAATATTTATGAAGTGTGCAATCAGGCACCAAAACGTGCAAGGTGTGAGGTGTATGCATCCATTCAAATTAGTGGTACTACAATAGTTAAGGAAGCAGGTGTTTAAAAAAATACTCCAGCTAAACTGCAGATGTCTTTGCCCCAGATTGACTTGGTAAGATTAGAAAAATGATCAGTAATTCAATGTGGCATGTTAAATCCAGTGTGTCAATGCAGGTTGATTGAGCAATTAATCTTGGGTATCTTTGAGTACTGCAAATGTTTCAGTAACTACCTAATAGTTTGCTGTATGTAAAGGTGAAAAGATTGTAATAAATGTTGGCAGAGGAAGCATATAAATTCAGAATGCTGGTAGCCCTGTGTACTTAAAATGTGTGTTTCATCCTGCTATCTAGTTAAGCAAATACAGTGACAAATGAATTCTTTAACTTCCAGTTTTGTGTGAATGCTGGGGGTAAGAAAGAAAGGCCTCCTGTAGGGTGGGGAAAGGAGTGGAAATCTTATTTCACAACACCTGGAGAAGACATTCCAGGTGCCTCTGTGCTTCCCTAGGTCCTCCCATAAGCGTCTTATACCTTCTTTTTCTGAGAATAAAGACAGCACTGCTTTCTCAGTGCCTTGCTTGCCTTGTGGGAAAACAAACTGCATCATCTACAGAACATGGTGTCAGGAGTGGAAACTTGTGTTCTCAAATGTATTCTGGAACTTCTCTTTGAAAATCTGGAATAATATTTAGTTACAGGTGTGTTGGAGCACCATTTGTGTTTCACACACACGAGCAGATCCCTGTTGAGGGAAGTTGTGCCCCGTTGAACACCGAACACTGACTGTGGCTTTCTCCCCCCTCTCTCTCTCCACACTGGGTGGTTCTCTGTCCTTCTTACATGTATTTGTAGGAAACCACTGCAAAAATCCTGAAAGTCGTGGTTCTTATTTTTCGTGTTTGAGGTGTTTAATTTTCACCACAGGCTTTTATTTTTCTTTCCAGTTGCTTGTATCCTGGTATTGGCAAGCAGTGATGTATGCAAACTTAGATGTGAATAGGAAAGTTTTGTCGTTTCAGTAAATTGGTTTGCTTGTAACAAAAACCTTGGGGAGCATTCTTTCCTCCAGTCTGCACTTTGGTTTTCTGTGCAGCTTTACAAAGTGATCTCTGGGGCTTCATGTGTGCATCTGGCATGGAAGACTTAACCCAGAAAAGGAAAAACTCTATATGCTTGGCTGAAAATGAGAATAACAATGATAAACATCCTGCTGCAGTGAATGAACACTCTGGAAGGCCAGTTTGTTTCATAGTAAACAATAGTAATAATAAAAAATTAGCAATTGTTTTGAAACTTATGCCGTGTCTAGATTCTCTTTTTTCAGAGCAAGTAGAGCTCAACAATCCCCATGTAGGTGTCAATTGTTCAACCCAACCCTTGTTTTAAGCAGAGACTTTAATACTGAGAGTGCCCAGTACTGGTCAGAGGATGTCATGGGACTTTAGGAAGTTACAAAAATTCCAAGTTCTTCGGCACAATATTTTAGTAGGAGCACATGTGCTGCTTCTTTAAGGGTTTATCTCTTCACATCTAATTTTCCGTGAAGACATTGGCATTGACAATGCACATTTAATTGTCTGAACTTAAGTGACACTTAGGACCTCAGCAGTTACAGTATGTGTCTATATCAAATAGTGAAATTAATCCTTTAATTGTAAATAATATGAAAAAACCCTCTATTCCTACTGAAGTATTTTTCTTTGTATTGTATTAGAATACAATATGCATCTAATTAAATTAAAACCAGAAAAGCATGTGGAAAAATATTTGGGGCATAGATTTCTGCCCTCACTAATATCAGGATTTGAAAACAAATCCAGAATGAAAACCCTGTATCTGACTAAAATTCCTAATTGTCAATTTTAGCCCTCTACGAAATAACAAAGGGGCTTGAGATTTGAGTCTTAATTCCTCGATTGCTAAACGAGGGCTAATAGAAGTTGTTATAATACTTCTAGAGTATTACAGGAATCTTCTGATCTCAGCTTGAAAATAAAGCAACCACTGTTGTTACCCACTGGACAATGTTTAACTTCAGTGTAAAGGCTCACACGAATTTCCTGAAAATAATATTGAACATACCACTACAAAACTGTTCTCTCTGTGTATCCTTCCATTTTCCTTTGGCTTCATTTTCTGCCTGACCCCTGAAGAAAAGCTGTAGACAACTGTGAATTGTTCCTTTCCTCTAAGTTTTCTTTTTCTATTTTCTTCCGCATTTCAACCCTGCAGGACATGTGAAGAAGCTGTGCCAGTTCTGTGAACTTGTTTCCAAGTTCTCTCCATGTATTGCAAGATACATCTGCTTGTCTAGATTTAGACAAGCAAGGGTAGTTGTGTTTTTGCCTTGAATATACATAAGATACAAACCAGGGGGCCTTAAATAGCATTTTGGGTCCTAGGGATCCTTCATAGCACCAATACTTAATGTTTTATGCCACTGTAAGGGTCTTCCTTTTCAGCTTGCTAACAAGAATTTTCTTGCTTCCGTTTTCATTTGAAATTGGCTTAAACTCGTATCTATTGGTTTAAATGGGGATTAGTTCCTGCAAGAACCTCTAGCACTATTTTTTCATTAGTCTTCTATGGTAAAACAACTCGTAATTAGGACTCCAGAGAGCAATTCTTCCTCCCTGCAAAACAATTTTTGAGATTATATATATACACACATATATATGTATATATATGTATCTCCATATAAAGCTAGGAAGTTATTTGCAGTAACTAGAACATTTTCTGCAATCCATGAGCATTGACTGATGGTGTTACTGTTTGGGTTCACATTTACCTGTTTCACTAACATCAGATTTGTTAAGCTTCCTCTTTCCCACTTGTTAGTTTATTTACACAGTAGTTTTATCCACCTTCTGTAGTCATCAGGGTTTTTATCATGCACCAAAACAGTTTCTTCTCTAATGCTTTGGTGTAATGAGACCTTGCTCTTTCTCTACCCTTAAAAGTAAAATGCTATGCATCATATATTCCTCTGAGTATTTTAGAGAGAGAAACTTGGATATTTTTTCATTTATTTACTTTTAAACTAAGGGATTTCGTAACAGAAGGCTTTTGAAAAAGTATTGACAAATGAGAACAGGAACGGTGCAAAAATTGTATCAGTAGCACGAATATCAGGGAAAGGAACGTACCATTTACTTTAAGAATATCGATTAAAACCTGAAATAAAAATTATACAGCATAACTTACAATATAAATGGGAATGTTGCTTTAGACAGAATCTGAACTACTACTTTTATTGCTGCCTGTTCTAGATAAAAAAGAATTTTTTCAAGAACAAGGACAATTAGCTTAAACCTAAGAGAGTTTGGTTCTCCTAGGCATTTTGCAAGCAAATCACTTGCATTTTTACACTTTTTTCTGTACACTTTCTAATGCTTATTACTCCTGTGCACTGGTGACTTTTTAGCCTATGACCTAAAACGTGGCCTTGCAAGAGCAAATGCTCCTCAGACTTGCTCACTTCAGTCGACTCCTCCTGATAAACAACCTTGAAGAGCTCGGTTGGTGCAAACTGCAGCTTTAGGAGAGGCAGTTTGAAGTCATCCTTCTTAATGTGCTTACTTGGTGCAGCTGACAAATGTGCTGCCAGTTCTG